CAAAAGCATGTACGTTTGCTAAACAATGGCGCAAATGTTAAATTGAGAAAAAAAAATGTAAAAAAGTGAATAGGGTCATAACATGAAAAATTGCAGACTCGGTCTGATTGAGTCGGTACATGAGGTATGAAAAACTTAATTTTAATTGATTGAAGCTCGTTTTTAATTATACTTAATGATTGCTAGAACGAGGTCATACTTCCTTCTGAAAATATTCTAAGTACATGGCATGAAATTATTTCATGTAATATGATTATATATTTAACATTTTCATCTCTATATTGATTAAACATGTATCTAATATTATAAGAAAATACGTTTGCTACCCATGATAAGTTAAAGCCCCAAATACTCATTCGTATGTTCTTTACCTCACAGTGGTTCCATACCAACGCATGCGCAGCCAATATTAAAACCACCTAGTCAGAAAGAGAAGTATAATTATGTTTGAACAGACGAAAGCATCAATGAAAATTATGTGACAATAATACAAACTTATTTTTGAAATGATGTGAATGATGCACAAAATACCTACATAACGAGGACCCGGATTACAATGACACCTTATCAAATAATGTAACCAGGTTAAAAATTATAAAACAAATGAAAATAATACGTAAAAAGGCAAGTAGTGCTAGGGGTTATTTGCACTTTCCAATACCGTCCTTAAACATACTCAATCAAACTGAGCCTGCAGCATTTTCAATTTCGTCAGATTGCGTTCATTGAACGCCGATTTCCTTGATGATCCTGTTGACGTTCTTTAGGAATTCAGTTCCTCTATATTTTATCCAGTTATTACTGAAAAGGTTAATTTTAGGAAAATCTGAAGGATATGAAAAAAGGGTACCGCTTGTCTAGAATGATAATTAAATTAACGAATAGCTTCATCCTGAATATCCAGAAAGTCAACTGTTAATTTTAGAAAGTTTTTACACTAAAGGCACGACTCTGTGACCTTTTGGCATATATCTTTCATTGCCTCTTGCAATTATGTAATAGCGGCGGCTTCACAATTAGTGAAGTGTCTTTGAAACACCACGTGATTGTATTGTAGAGTTCATTTGGTGATTTAACGCGGAGGAAGTTCTGCTGAGATGATTGTCTGTTTTATTTACGTTGAGAAAAAAATAATCATAGTAACTGTCACTATATACCAAGCCTGAAGTCAAATGTAAATAAAATTCATGTAATATTCTTTTATATGCTATTAGATCTTTACATTTGCAATTGTTGAAAAGAAAATGAAAATGTGTGAGCAGTCATAGGATACCAATCTAATCGTGTGGGGCAGTCAGGTATGTGGCTGACCTATAAATTGTTACATACTTATATCAAATAAAACTTTGACATATCTTGACATCCTGTTCTCTGTATAAACATTTTGTATGATTTAAATCATACAAAATGTTTATCCAGAGTTGACGGTGGATGCATGAAAGGAAAATAAAACGAAAGAAAGCAATTTGAAAGTAAACGGCAGACAAGTATTAAAGAATCGTAATCAAATAAATTTGAAAATAGGATACCAACCCAATCGCTTGGAGGCAGACACGTTTTACTGACCCTATTGTTAATGGACAATCCTTTGTGATAGAAACCATCGTTATTGTACAAATGACATGATAACCCGATCGGGAGACTAACCAATTCATTTTTAGGTGGTAAATGTGGTAAATGTACAAATCAGTAGGACCGGAAGATAAAAATCGACCCGCAAAATGAATAATGGCTGCGAAGGCTTCAGCCCGAGACCATGATTCATTTCAGAGTCGATTATCACTTTCCTGTCACTCTATAGCGTGTATAAATATTTTAATAGACTTTACATATCTACCTGAGCATTATGTTTATTATTTGATACTTCTTTAGTTGAAATTCCTATTTCTATATTTTACTGCACTGTTCAGTATCTTATTATCGTATTTGTTTTCTTTACATTTTAATTAAACTGTGTTGCTGTTAAACTTCGCGTAAGCTCTCATCACAAATCAAGCGATCCGTGCTACAAATTTACTTTCATTTTACAGCTTTTTTATGACGTCATTTGACATTATTGTTTCAGTGTTTGCACGTGCTTGTGTTCAGCTTGAACATTGTTTGCCCCGGGATGTAAACTCATAGTTGGTCACGTGATAATCATAAATCAGTTGAAATTATATGTATATGCAATTTTGTTACTGTATAAAGTAAGAAACATATTAATATAAATTAATATTCTTCATCTGATTAAAACACTACACATCGTTATAATGATTTTTAAAGATTTCATTCATAAACATGAACATGCTGAGTGATCAAATGTTTCAAGTTATCGATAGTTTTATATGTTATCAATGCCAATAATAACTGGAAAATATACTTTAATTACAGATATTCTTTTATTCACATGTAGTACAACTTTTCGATTACTGGACCCTAACATAGTCATATATAATACAATTATGACATTTAATCTAATGTAAGGAGTATAAACTCAATCATAAAGTGTTCACAATTTTGTTGGCTAGATTGTAATACAAATTCACAAAACAACCTTACATTGTAGACAAATAACTAACAACAGAGCGTTACAATTCAGGGTAATGACTGCACGCATATGTACACAACTCGCATTGCCGTGGTCTTTTCGCCAGGTCAGCTGATCTTATTCAATTCATATAGATCAGAAGTAGTTTTAGATGGATGGCATCCATATGAAAACTAGGTAACATAATCAAATACAAATAGTCACCAATGTTGTACAATTACTGATCTTCATTTCATACACATTATCTGTTGAAAATATTGAATACAAGAAATGTAGATATGTCATTCCTGTGCTACTGAATAACGAAGTATGTAATACATTTCAAAGGGAGAATTATTTGCAAACATTGATGTTTAATTGGCCTACCTTTGCTTTAGTAACCGTTTAAATTTGTAATAATTGATATAGGACATAACGAAGAATAACTGTATTTCTATAAAGCAAAACATGCAAATATGTTAATCTAGTCAAATCGTATCTAGTTATAATTAAATCATTAAAAATACGTAAATTGACCTTATATTTTGTAGTATCATTAATCTTGCAAAATGAACAATATATTTTATATCGTTTCTCTATTATCATAATCAATCAATCTACACCAGGTCTCTATCATTGTAAATCACCATATTTTATTGCGAATGTGTAAATTAATCAGACGATATCTTACGGCGTATTCTGCGCTAACAAGCTGGTTTCATACAGACAAAAATAAGCATTATTTACTCCTGAATGCAGTGTAAGGTTTTGAGGTCAAACGTTTTTGATTATAGAGATAGCACGAGTGTCTTGAAAATAAAAATGTAAATTTTGTGAAAAATGTTCATGTTAACAATTACTAGCAAGTTTTTTTCATATCATTCTTGCAAATGTACGCTGAATTCATTGCTTATGAAATGCAGTATGAAATACTGATTCTTGCATTGTATTTCAGATAAAAGAAACATCTGCAATTAAGTTGCTCGAAATTATTACAATCAGCAAATTAAAAAAAAATGATTTTTGAAAAATTGCCCATTTTCATATACCATTTGACTAAGAAAGTAAGTTTTAACTTAATATAAATAAAGTTTGATAATAGGCTTCTCTAACCAGAGAGAAAAATCGTCTTTCAGTTTGCTAATGATCTCACTGAACATTGCTTATCGCCTTATTATTAAGATAAATCCAACAATATCGATAACGAGAACACTACTGCTGCTTTTTAAAGCAGAAGACATATCAAGTACATGACATTGATCTATCTATCAACATATCCTAATTACCATATGATTCCCAGCAAATACTATTTCATAATTAATAAAATATCATTCGTTGTCTGTCATGATTTTCCCGGAAGTAATCCGCTTACAATATGGTATTATTTGACATATTTAAGCCAAATTAAAACGAAAAAGGATCACGGTACTCTTCAAAACGTGCGTGCTATAGATTTGTAACCCCCACATGTAAGAAGTATTTGTTGTTGTTTTTTTCACATCAAGTTTATATATTTATAATTATCTACAGATCATTATAATCAACGTCATCTTTATTTAGAAATGACATTTTCATAATTTTGGTTTCATCAATGCTATCCCTTGGACTAAACCTGCTGCTGGACCCACTATTGTTCCTCTGTGGCAGCCGCAATCTCCGCCCATTACTAACACCGTTGCCACAACGTTTCTTGCAGCGGCTGCAGCAGAAAAATAAACTTTTAAATCCTGAACGGAATCTTTTATTCATCCAAAAATAAACAATAGGATTGTAGCAGGCGTACGACATGGCTAGCCAATGGGCGCTGGTCCAAACATACTGATAGTGTTCGTAGTCGTACACAGACTCATGGGCTTCCTGTATCAACTGCATGGCATGTAAAGGAAGCCAGCAAACAGCATACGTTATTACCATCACTATCATCATTTTCACCATCTGAAACGATACAAGATAGCTCATATTACACACAAGAATGTAAAAATCTTAGTAGATGTCTGATATATGAAGTTCCTTTCAGAATAGTTACAACAGCAACAACACATAACTTATATGTTTGAAATTAGATATCATTTCCCAACAATTTTGTGTTGAATTAACCAATCAGCTTCTCATAGATCTTTGAATGAATTAGTTAACTATAACCGTTAAAGCATGGGAATGTTAAGTATCATTGAATTATAAACATAACCAGACAATATACCAATATAAGAAATTAAGTAGCACAAAAATTTCCATCCTTTATACGTATTGCGCTATAATTTTATTGTTGTCTCTAGATAGCATGTGTCTTAAACCATGTCTGTTCATATGCTAACTTTGCATTTATGAATCGTTGGTCATTTGCTGTATGCAGTTGTATATAACATGCTTATCATATTGATAATTATATTCGTGTGTGAAAATGTACCAACTTATTATACATACAATAACAAATCTCAATTACAAAGGGTAAAATAGGCCCTAAAGAAGTGTAGCATTTCAATCAATAGCATAAAATGACCAAAAGTAGCAACTGTCTGAATTAAATGATTTTAAGCGTATACTCAAATTTTTCTCTATCTCGATAGCAAATTATATTTCGTAAACATGGGGTACTTTTTCGAATTTACCTCCTAAGTTAAACAAACTAATTAGCTGGGCTACGCTATATTCAAATATCTCATTAATTTGCAAAAAGTTAATGCATTTTTTTAGAAAATACATTTTCCAATGTTGGATATGTTACATTTTAGTAAACGCCAAATGTAATAAAAGACAAGACAAATTTGTGTAACCATTTCTCGACAGTTATATAATTTATAAGTAAAGAGCAACGGCAGTTTTAAACAGAAAAGGGGAAAAATTATGAAACGATTTCTTGAATTAGAATTCGTGACATTTATACATTTTGTTAGTAAAAAGAAATGACAGTTTTAATATAGATTGCACTTATTGCAAACATTTGATTGACAGTATTTCTAACATGATTAACAGTTGGAAAAGATCGATTTGCAGAAAGTTAATAGAATGCAAAACGAAATTAAGATTTACATGACATTTAAGCAACATATCCCATAGATAGAATGATTATTTGGAATAAAGTAATAGCTTAAATTACAGACAAATGATAACTGTAGGAAATAAATTAGTATTCTTCATGTGTCACAGCTGACAAAAAGATTTCCTTTTCTATATATAGCTGTTATTTTATAACCTCTTAATAACTTAATAACACTTAATGATGTATTAAATAATAACGTGATTTATATGTTCTTCCTGAAGATGATACGGTCAAAAATTTGTTCTATCGCATTTCGGCCATTTGATAAAAATTCAAGACAAGAATGCGTCAAATCTATGGTAATTCTGACACTTTTTTGTTTATACATGTTATATGAATACTCGCTTGGTAATGATCAAATAGATAAAAGTTTACACTTGATTTGGCAATATTCAATTCCATTTTTCTATTCAGTTCTACCTTATTGATTGGGGAAAATATTCATTTTTGTGCCCAGTGTTTCTAATATATTCCTGTGTTGTAACAACAAATTCCTCCAGCTAAAATTGTTTTGAATATAAATTAGAAAGCTACCGATAGTTCTAATACAACACATTTGTTTCTTGAATATTAATATACATTGCAAAAAAGGATTCAACTCAGATCTTAAGACTTGTAAAAACAATAAAGAATTGAAATTGCGCTATTAAAGAAGTTCTTATTATTCTGGAATATCAAATAATGCAAGTATTAAGGAATAATTATATTCTGCGAGTACTAATTTATTCATTTCTTGTTATCTGAATTCGAAAAGTGTAAAGAGATGCTAATCAATCTCACAAAGGGATTGTGAAAAGGTAAATGAAGTTGTAACATTATATCTAACAAAGAATATGTGTTATTTCAATGCGATATTATCGTACATTATGGTGAGGGAAATGAACTTTAATCATGCGATCTCACACAATCCCTATTGATTCTGTAACCTAGCAGTTTAATAAGGATTTGGTAGATAAACTAAACACAGGTAAATATTATAAAAAAAGATATTATAGACGAAAGGTATCATGATGTAGGTTTGTTCATTTTTTTCGGTCTGGCAAACATATTACCTTTAGAACTGAATAAAAGAATTATTTAATAAAACAAGAGCTGTCGTAAGACACTGCGCTCAACCACATATACTAAAGTACTTGATTATAAAGTAGGAGCCAGTCATAAAAAAGCTCTACTAGATACTGTAATATGAAAAGGTCAATTAAGATTCAGAGAAATACCTGAACGGGTATTATACCATTTGATCAAACAGTTGGGTAGTAAAAATAATTAAACAAAATTCTAAGTTGAAAAGAGGGAACAATTAATCTGTGAAAATCTATGAAAGACTTATTAAAACACCGTTTGTTCAAAATTAAGGTACAAGAATCGTTCAAAGAACGTTTCGACCAAACATGCCGTCCACTGTTCACAATATGTTTAAAAAATAGTTCAACAGGTGATTATATAAACTTGAACACCTGATCATGCTTTATAAAAACTTTCAGCTAGAATATCAATTTACTGATCATGAACAGAAAACTCAAGAATAATGTCATTTGATAAAGAACAGAACATACACTTTACATAGAAGAACATATTTTAGAAAATATGAAATTCTACAATAACACATGTGCACATTAATATACAAAGAAAAAAAGGAACGGGAATGGTCAATTTTTTGTTCAGAACATAATAATCTATTGAAATAGATTGGTTTAATTGGTATTGTTTTTATTGTTTAATTTAGGTATCTAACATTAAAATATGAAGGGAAGAAAAGATTTCTTAATATTGCATCTATTATCTTTATGCCACATACTGACAGATAAGAAAGAACAGTAACTGAAGAAAATAACTTTGCTTCTTGCAATATAATCTGTCAATATCCGAAATGCAATTAAGATAACATGATAACTTTATATATACTCAATTTAAAAAAAAACGGAAAAAATCAAAGAAACTGTAAATAGTCAAACATAAGTTTATGAGAGTTATTCAGATTCTTATTTCTTTTGTTCTCTTTTCATTATTATACATGTTAAGGTAAAGTTTAGCAATGGAATTATAAAAATAACTATCACTTTGACCGATACATGTTTTCATAAATTAGTTAGTATTAATCATTTTAACACTGTTTGCGCATCTTTTACTACCCACTTTTAAGATGAAAGGTGGGTAAAATAACGGTATAATTATATTTAATGTTGTTCTTTAGATATTAATTAGATTCTTATCTCTGATATTATATAGCATATTGATGTTACAAACGAGAAAATACTTTCATATTGATATGAAATATTTAATATTTACCATTCAGTGAATTCCAGATTGATTTATTTGTATCACTTTTGATCCAATGTTTTTTTGTGTCTTATGTTGTTTTGTTATTGTTACATAAAGATTAATTGGTCCGGGTGTATTACTCTTGACTTCGCCAATTTCCACATGTCTCTATAATTATTATTATTATACCTACTTACGTCTTTATTTCACTATGCCCATTACCTTGATCGTTTAATGCAGACAATACTTCCCTAACTGTTTAGTACGACCGTTTGCTTAAATCTGTATATTATTAATGTTTATATATATTATGATTTTTAGTAAATTAAAACAAACCTGAAATTCTAAATCAGAAAAGTAATTCATTGTCTTTGTTTTTTTCTTCGTTTTCATCACCATGCATGCTTATAAGACACTTTAAGCTTGTTTTAAACAGCAAAAATATCTGTAAGGTTATGTGACTGGATGGTTTAAAATAATTTTGATACAAACATTCTGTATAACAAATATGAATAAATTCATCATATAAAAGGATAAGCTGACCAATCAATCAAAATACCCTAATCATTTGTATTTTTACTTTCAAGTGATAGCAACAATTAACTTCATTACATTTTTATTGATAATGCTGCGTGAAAGAAGCACCAAGGATATGTCTTAGATTGTTGTTATTGTTGCTTCACGACTAGTGTATACAAACAGAAATAATGTTAAACACAGCATCTTCTAGCAATAAATGGTCCTTTTGTATTTGAATAAACTTAATATACAGTGCAAAATACTTTTATACGTGTATTTCACTTAACATTAAAAGTAAATTTAGATATGAAACAACAAATATCGATTGTTTTAAAAATAAAAAGATATGTTTATAATATATTTAAGTATATTGTATATAATTATATATATCCTATTTGCAACGGACTTACAATATAATATAGATAGAAAATTACATGTAGGATATATTGTAAAAATATTAAAAATGAATATTGAGAATGTTTTTATAATGCCATACAATATTAAAAAAAGATAAAGTCATCATTAAAATTGTGCAATTTATATATCATTATTATTCGATGTTCGTATCGAACCTGTGAAGTAATATCTTGGATTTAAGGAAAATCGAATAAATACTCACCACATTTAATAGTCTTGAATATCAATAAGATAAAAATTTATATTTCAGTCTGGGAATTCCGATAAAACAAAATGTGTTAGATTAATGAATAAATTTCGAAAAGAAGCAGACCTGCTGCAAAGAATTGAATTTTAAACCAGACACAAATATCTGAATACAAGTAGTTAAAGTATGATTTGCTCCAATTTGATATTGAAAGATAATTGCTACACAGTTTCTTTGTAAATATAAGAAAAACATGTTTTGACTTCAAACAAAGTAGATAGGTTATATTAAATATTCAACACACTATCGTTGGTAACAATATGAATATACAGTGTCATTTAAAAGGAGTGGCAGGTTTTTCAAAGGAGCAAATTACTTACTGTATATACATTCAGTTGATGATAGATTAAATCTTACTGAAATATTTACTAGGATAAGCTAGATATTAAGCATTTCACATAATAACGTTATTCCTTTAATCATCTGTTATGTAACATGTCTTAAATTATTCTGGACTCATTATTGTTGACATAACTATATGTGACTTAATATACATCGATGAACAACATAACTATATCAATGTGTAATTACGGTTATCATATGTTTGTATATTTGATCATATTATTGTCTGTTCAACTACACATTTTTTTATAGAACATTTATATTGTAATAATAGTGAAGTCTCTTGAATCACAGTAAATATGGAATTGATTTATTTTACCCAGTGAAGGAACACATCTTTTATACATAATTTTCATGATGTTATGTCACGCTATTACATGCAAAGACTATATGAATAATCAGCGTACCTTTTCATTAGTAAATTGCAAAATGCAAAATGAGAACTATACTTCAATTTAGTTGAATAATGCAACTCTTGTATATAATGCAAATAAATCAGTCACATTATGTTTTTGATTATACAAAAAGGACCAATATCTTTAAACAAATGATATATATTAACAATTAAATAATTGAAAGATACCCCAAAGGAAATCTGGAATAAGTGCAATTTTACTGCAATGTTTGATTTTGTTATCGCATTTCTGATGCTTGAGAGAACGTGTGTGATTGACTTTGAAATGCATTTAAAATGTTTGATGTATTGATTTACTATATTTATATAATCGAATGATAATTGAAAGTGCCTGAAGAAAATTATACATTTGGTGCATTTTATGTATAATTTCTTTTGTAAATGAATAATCATTATAACTTGAGAGAAGTTAATTGAAAAATGCTAAATGTACAAAATGCATTATATACCTCAACTAGTGTATGCAATAATATATTATTTACCCAATCATGAAATGTTTAATTTAGGTATACCCCAATCATTCATACCAACATTTATATTTAATTACAAATTTCATAATTGAAACACGTCGCAATGAAAATTGGGAACTATATGAAGTTGACTGGAATGTTTAAGTTTGTACTTGCATCTGTTTGTGAGATAATTTGTTGCGATTTACTTTTTATGACAACAACAATTTGTTCTGAATGAGCGTATTAAACAATCAAGGAAGAGAAACAGCCTGTATTTTAATTGGTTGAATGGTTGGGACAAGTTGCCGGACAAAACTTTTAATTGAAGCTAACAAACAAAACGCGACAGAGACATGTTAGTTTCAGAGAATAATGTTCGGTTAACGATCTTTATTTTCCACATTTTTCCCTTTCAATGCAAATTTTAGTAAAATGGGAGGCAATAACAACATTTTTGCACCCCCTGGACCGGACTGTTTTTCTCACGAAGAAGAAATTGTTTTGATTTCTAAATATAGAAAACATTTGAAATTAGGTCCGTCAATATAAAACATACTATAAACCAACAGAATAAGAACTTAATTATAATATTAAAAATATTCTGAAAAGTTAATTTATCATTATATTCAATATATCATAATCGCAATCACAGAGAAGTTCAAAATGAACGAAAGTTCAACTTTTTTCCCAATTTATTAAACATATTCTTATTAATAATAAAAAATATTTTGATGACATAATGATTAATATAAATACATATATAAAATAATAAAATATGTTTGTCTTAAGTTTAATCGCAAAGACATTGTTTGCAATTAATATGAGTTTTGCGACGTACACTTTTTGATGAAATCAATGCATTTAAAATACGTTTTTCATTTTATGCTACATGTACCACAATAATCTGTATGTCGATGCAATAAAGATGTGGTTTGCTATTTTGCTTACTATCAAGTCAAGTATTTATGAACTGTAGGATTTCATAATTTTTCGAGATTCACATTGGCAGTCACATTTGTTTCATCATCAGTGAAAAAGAATATAGAAAAACACACATTATTCATCACTCGTTATATGTAACTGAAGCAGAGAAATTACTTTTTTGTTGCACAAAATCCGCGTATAGAAGTAAAATTTTTCTATTTCAATTATTAACAGAAGTAGTACATTAAATAATGTAACAATTTAATCGCTAGTGTTGTCTTAAAACTATATAATATTTGTTTCTTATTCACCATTAGTAAATCATTCACTGACAGCTCAAATCCTACAATCAAAGCATATTTCCTGCAAACACGAGTACAAGCTACAAGTCCAAAGGTATTGAACTGTAATCCACTCAGGTCTTCATCAAAACTTGAGAATATAATATCCATTGATTATTGACTATCAATAAGATACCAATCAATATAATTAAGTTATAAATTATTCAACGATATGGCTAAAGCATAATTCATTAATTTGTGATAGAATATATTTAAAATTTAAATAATTAATGAAAAATCTGCAGTTGTACATGCTTCTAATATGGATTCCAAATCTTGTCATATGTGAGTTTCGCTGACATAAAAGCAAATGTATTGTCGTAAATTTATCTGTATATAAGACAACTTTTCTAGCATCTCAGCATGTAAATAACTGTTCGTATTTATACTTCTTAAGGATATGATAAGAAGCATGAGCAGGTTTATAAGATTTTTGTGTTTTTTGTCTGCGAAAGAAAGCAAAAATAGATGGTGTCATATGAATCATATTTGAAATGATTGCATTAAAATCGCACATTTAGGAATATTTTGTCAACTTAATTATCATCTTAAACAGGGAAGCCAACACTGTACGTGTGCATTGATTTTGTCACAAACATTATCATCATATTACAATGATAACGACACAAAGCGCTCGTTTCAGTTGTTTCTCTGAATTATAACTTGGATTTTATTCCATTTTCTGCAATGGCAAATTCATGCATTCACTACAAAAATGCATCATTGAGTAATTAGATGCTTAATATGATCTCAAGTGTCTGCTCACAAATGTAGAAGTAGTTGCGTACAAAAGAGTAAAATACCAGGAAAGTAGCCATAGGTCTGTGAAATAACATATTCATCACAAAACCATGATTAAATGTCTAAGGGTCCATGGTGAGGTTAGTCCTATGAGATATTGATTGAATGATTGAAACTTTTTGGTTAATTAAGGCGGAATTCAATTATTCATTTCGAAAACTAAAATACATTTATATTGCATAAATGGACAAACATTCGAAGGGCCATAACATAATCAAATATTGATGAAATCACATATTTCTGATAAAACACTCCAAGCTATAGCTAAGTAAAATTTACTGGTAATCACTTAAGGAAAAATATACCACAGTAAAAATTGCTTTTTCTTGTCTTTCCCGTTCGTTAACTTCACATGAAAATTTTTAAAAAGGATGAAGATTACAAGTTTGTAAATCGGATTGGAGTTTGAAATAGTATTAGTTGCAAGTTTTGACGATATATCACAAGACGGCATTGATGTACGTTAGCATCAATACTTTTATATACAAAAAAAAACTCTTTAGAAAAACAACGAAAATCTACAATAGCATTAAAGTGATATTTTATTATGCCAATCCAAGTGTAAATGGAAAGTCCACAGCAGCAGTTAAAATTCAAGGAAACATTACATTTAACCAGCTGTGTTCAATGTTTTATTTTACGTTGCAAAAATAATCAATATAAATGTGAACTATTAACATTTTCATAATTATCGTTTGGAATCAGTAGCGTTCAATCCTTAAAAAAAGTGGGGCAGTCTGTTCATAATTTAGTTAATTTTCATATTTTATCCTTAACAATTTTCATTACAAATTATCGTCAATCACCATTATAATTATATATTACTTTTCTAGTTCAACTCGATAAGGGGAAAATTAGCATAATGTCACTTTAACAGGATTTAAGTTGACGCATGGTTTAGTTTAAGTATGAAAATTCAAATTTGAGTACAAGTGTAGTATGGAAACTAAAGATTGTAAAGATACCTTTCTTTTTGATGATGCTATGCGTTCGTCCCTCCTCCTCTCGGCTTCGCCTGGTGTCCTTTTTATCCATATTATATAACCAATCCTCGAGTATGTGAACATTAAAACGGCCAAAGGGACAAAGTATTGAATACACATTATTGCCATGGAATAAATGTATTGTAATTTCATATTATCAAAAACTTCGCCACACATCCCTTTGTGACACTCTTCTGTATCATTTACGTGGTATGGGTTGTGAACTCTTGATTTAATAACTGTTGGAAGAGGTACCAGAAGGGCTAAAATCCACACCACGACAATAGTAAGAAAAACTTTTTTGGAAGTGAGTTTTGGTCGGAGTGGATATATGATTGCAACATAGCGGTCTATGCTCATTGCAACGAGAGTAAAGGCACTCAAAAATACAAACACGGCTTGTGTATATAATATGAAAGGACATATGAAATCCGCAAATGGCCAATATGGCATAAGTATATTTACTACATAAGTAAATGGTATACAAATCAGTCCTTTTGCCATGTCACCAACTGCAAGATTTAGCAGGAAGAAATTTGTCACAGTTCGCATACGTTCTTGTCCTAGGACAACACAACATACTAGTAAGTTTCCACCGACCGCCACTAAAAACAACACTGTATAAAGCACCATCCAAAATATATTCACAACAGAATATGTTATAGCACATGGATCAACCATATTACCACTCTCGTTCTGATTTTGTTCAAATGCAGCAACCATTTTCGCCAATTTATAAATACCGATGTCTTTTCGCTTATGTATATATTTAATACATAATTTCAAAACACTATTTAGAAAACGTTATCTCCTGGAAATTTAGATTTCAATATCATTCAAAATAATTGTTTACAAAAGAAGATTTAAATTTATTAACAATTCTATAATCTTTTAAGGTCAAGTTTAAGATAACTTTCGTCTCGCTGGAAATGGCTTGACTGATTCCCGTGGCAAAATTATTCCTGACGCAATGTACGATCGATATAGAATAAGCTTTTCACTTTTGTTATTAGCAAAAGATAACCGAATTCTATTTTAAAATTTACCCATCGTTCAAATATTATTTCAATTTTATTCCATTTATGTCGCCGAAAATGAGGAAGAAAACTTAAAATTTACGATTTAACCGCCTTTATAATGAACTATAAGTTAATAAGTAATTTTCAAATAATGGCGGAAAACTTTTTTTTATTACTTTGTCATGTCATAGTTGTTTTTAAAACTTGCTTTAAATGCCACAATGTGTCTCCCTGGAACCATCTCAGCTAAAAATGGAGTACAAAAATTCCTTTAAAAATCACAACGGTTGTTTTTCTCTTTTATTATTGCCTATTAAAACCAAACCAAAATCCAATAGTCCTTTGCCATTATTTGAATCCACATTTACATTTGCTCTTTATCCCGTATATTTTATTACAACTTTCAAACATTAAACAATAATTAGAATAAAATAATAATTTTATTCACGTTCTGTTATTTTGGCAGATGAACAAGCATATCTATCAAAGCCCATTTGTATTTCATATCAAACAGTGAAATACTTTTATTGACTGTTTGTTAATCAGAAGCTGTGTTAAAAATGCTGTTTTCTTCGTGATTCCCCTCCGTTGATTTATCTTAGCGTATCGTAGGCGGCTTTTTCCTATATTTTTCTAGCAGAAATAAAATGTGAGCAGGCGAAAGACGAATCACTGCTGATGCTTTGCGGCGTAAGGAAAGCTGTTTCCAATACACAATTGATCACTGTTTATTCTATAACCATATAATATTATTATAAAATACGTAATTAACTGGTGCATTAACACATTGTTATATTAATTTTTATAAATCTTAAATTTTAGCTGAAATACGTCTAAAAATGTAAATGATATTTAGTGAATACGTACTAGTTTAGACGCCCTATATTTGCTCCTGCGCCTCTGTTGAACTGTTGCTTCCACCTATTACATTCTAAACAGAATCCCTAAAGAAATCTCAACATGGCAAAATTGACCACGTTGTAGGCTTGGTTTGATTGAGCTTGTTCATGGACGATACTTGAAAGTGCACGTTACCGTCCACGCCCCCTAGCACCGGCTTTAGCAGAATTAAACACGAAAATGATTTTTAATTTTTGAATAAAGTTTGACTTTCTGTAATATAATTACTATTTAAGTTCTAATTCTTTTAAACACAGGCATGAACATAAATGTTCGTAAAGGTATGATGTTTATAAAATCAGTACTCACATGTTTAATGATGAATGGAAACCTTTAAGTTACTTTCTATTTTTGGACAATGCATAATATGATTGAAGTAAATAGGATTTATTCTACAACATTTTGTTATAAAAATAAAAAGCCAGTCACATAACGTTACACATCATAATATAGATATCAACGTGACATCAAGTCTATCTAAGGGTATTTAGGGAGAGAACAGGTAAAACTGAAATAAGTTTTCATTTTACCTTAACCTCTATTTTATAACTTACTTCGCATGAACTTTTAATAACTTACGTGGCTCAAACAAAATCTGTGAATTTACCTGTCACTTTCGACAATCTTTTTATAATATAGGCAGATTTATATTTTAGCCGTGCCATGACAAAACCATCATAATCGGTTTGCGACCAGCATAGATCTAGACAAGCCTGCGCATCCGCGCAGTCTGATCAGGATACATGCTGTTCGCTTACCAACCCTACTACAAGTAGAGAAACTGATAGCGAACAGCACGGATCCTGATCTGACTGCGCGGATGCGCAGGCTCGTCTGGATCCATGCTGGTCGCAAACGCAATTTGTTGGTTTTGTCATGGCGCGGCTCATTTTATCCTAAATTTTCAAAAATCAGCTGTTGGACAATCACTATTTCAACAATCTTCAATGAATATAAAGTCAATTCTGCTCAACTTCACAATGAAACAAATGAACATAATGTCACTTTACTATTTGTAACTATTTATAAAATCTAAATATTTATGACATAATATAGTGCTGTGCAATTAACAATACGTATTGCCCGTAACAAATTGTTAAGTAGGAAAAAAGCATTGTTAACAGTTCTTTTCAGATAAAACAAAATAAGTTAACAGCTTTTGATTATACTCCGAATGTTTAATTACATCAGTCAACATGAGTATGGCATGTTTTCGTCATCTTTTGAACATTTCATGAAAGCTGAACTCTAGAAAACAACTTATCTGCAGTCTGATTGTATTGACCAGTCAATTACGAATACATAATAGTTCACATTTAAATATTCGATCCCATTCCGGTTCTGCCCGTGTTATTCATCAGAATTAATATGGAATATATAACTAATGTATTGAATACTCCCCAGCTTAATGGATAGGTCGTTATCACATTCGCAATAGCATCCGATTGAAATTTAGACGATGGTATTTAAAAGAGTATAAACTTTATCAGAATCAATGCAAACATATTAAAAGAAAACAAACAGCATAGAAAACAATCATAACTCTAAAGATATAAAAATAAATTGAAAAATCATGGAAAAAAGCTGTCTCATCTTATAACGTAGGACATTTAGAAATTACAAATCGGTAATGATAACGCTAAATATTATCATTTTATAAACACAAATTAAATTTAAACATATTTTACTGCCGACATGAACCTTATTAAATAACCTATCAATGATTAATACATCATGTGCACTGACCTTATAATTGACAGGTTAATTAACTCAAACTATAAAATCGCTTTAATGAATTATTTAAGACGTTTACTAACAAACGGCAATTGTGTGAATTATACTGTGACATAAAGGGGCTGTAAGACCTATTTTATCTACCACGTGCGCACGAGAAAGCTACTATGTGCGCTCGCGATAGCTACTTCGTGCGAAAGCAATAGTAACTTCGTGCGTATGGGATAGTCTCAACGTTTGTCAATCATCACGTGCGCACGTAATAGCTATCGCGTGCTCACGTGGTAGATAAAATATTTTTGATGTCCCCTTTATGTCACTGTAGTACGAATTAAGCATTATCACGCTGGTTGACCTTTATGAAAAATATTCATATTGACCTGTGCATCATAATACAAGGGACAAAAGGGATGATTTTTATTGGTGATATCTCTATAACGGTACCTTTCTACAGTTAGACGTTCATATATGGATGACAACACTAACATTATCATTTAAAGTATGCATTCAAGTATAATTCACCACACTTTATGTATGATTAAATAAATGCTGTCTTTAATTCTACTCGTACTAGTATTTGCCTTGAGGTTTTAAATACTCTTTTGTATGATATCACATAAACCATTTTTGTTTGAGTACAAATCCTATTATCATACAATGGACCAATTTGTCACAGTATTCTAATCTACCATCGCGTAGCCTTGTAAGAAGTAAAAACATACAAACATTGTTAAGTGTATTGAACGGATTCCAGGCAAATTGTTACAAGAAAGTGTTTCCGCTACAGTAAGCTGCTCATAATCAACATTCTAAATCAACAACGACGATGCCTTATAAAATGGTCAACAACACTCGACGTATTTACTTATATCAAAATCAAAGCACTTAAAGCACGAGCAACAAGCGAATCATATGCGAAGTAATAAACAAGAAGGTAGGGAATTGGATAGAAATCTTTTGTTTAACATAAGTAATATTTGTTTGGCCGGTTTGGTTTTTCGACGAAACAACACAATTTATATTTAATTATATATGGTCACATCTGCGGAAGTTTCTAAATTCAAATTTTTACCATTACTACGTTTAATTGATGCATTCTGCTGAAGCCGGTGGTAGTGAGCGTGGACGGTAATTTGCACTTTTCATTACAGTCCATGAACAGGCTTAATCAAACAGAACCTGCAACATTTTGTCAATTTTGTCGGTTGTGCGTTCTGTAGGGATTTCGTTTTTCTCTATTATTGTAAGGTCATCACCAATGCCTCGACCCTTTAAGGCAACCTCTCATCCACAAGGGTCGGGGTGGGGCTAGAAATAATGTAATGGATAATACAGTAAGATTTAATGAAACCCTTTACAAGCCACCCTGTTATATTTTTACATATATGTCGTTTTAAACTATTAGCTGCTAATAACCAGGTCATCGTCTTTATAGCAGACATAAGCAGACATAGTCGTTGATATAACACGTTTATAAGTGAAGTGACATGTAAGATAACTAGTTTTGAAATGTAAATGGTATTGTGAGCAATGTGTTTAGTTTCAGATTGTTATAATTTGCTACCTTTTCTTATAGAACTTTAAATTTATAAGAAAAGTCCAAAAGTGTAGGTATAAATGCGGTTACAATGTAGGTTAATAATTTATAGTTTAATAGGACCCAATGTCAACTCTTTTCATACTTCATACAAAGTTTGAAAATGTTGTAGCAGTATCAATGAGTGTCATAAGGTGTCGCCCACATAATTATTTTTTACTTTAATGATTTGTTTTCATTTGTTTTGATTTAAAAAAAACCTGCTCTATGCAGTACTATGCAGTTTATATAATATTTAACAGCAATATCAAAGCTCAAACATATTAATATTACACCGTAGCAAACACAAAACATTAAAGTTATTTTACAATATCTAAAATCGTAACAAATTTGAAATGTGGTACAAACATAAATGCTGTGAGTACCGATGAACTCATAATTATGATACACCCAAATATAATGTGTATGTCATTTCAATCAAATATCATATTTTTGTTAAGTCATTGAGTTCCTATTAGTCCGTTTTATTGACAGATTTCCATTTGTAAAGCTTCTATAAGATTGCCTTTTTCTACTTGTAAAGATATAGGTCGCCAGTATTGTATTTCACTGTAAGGAACTTATTACTCCCACTCAAAGGCAAATAAAAAATGTGATTTCTTCACTAAGGACAATTCTCGCAAAACTTATTTATAACTATGTTATTGTTATGTCAGATTAATTCATTGAAGGTATTGATAAAGTGAAATAAATTTTCAGAAAAAAATTTGATTTATATAAAGAAATATTTTAGTGTAACAGAGTGTTAATTGAATATCAAATGATTTACCTTTTACATTATTGATTTCTTAGATTTCAGTCCATTACTAATAATTATTCTTAAATATTTAAATGAAATGCTTGTTTTTTCTTTTTTTAACAATCGTTGTTTTGAATGTTTTATTGCTTTAAAAGTTTATCTGTACAAGTCTTCATTATTCACTATAACACGAAATCACTCCGCACAACATCCTTTGTTAGAAGTGTATGATTTTCGATAAGCAAATCTTACAGTCAGATGGTTTGTAATAGATATACCATTGCTGCGTTGACGATTTCTGGGTTTGCGTAAATTATACCATAATCACGTGACCTTTCTTATGCCTTAACCTCACGAGACGAAGTCGAGTGAGGTTGCATAAGAAAGGTCACGTGATTATGGTATAATTTGCGCAAACCCAGAAATCGTCAACGCACCAATGGTGTATCTGTTTTAACCTATAGCTCCGCCCAGAAACACTTACTCCTTCGATCTTCAAAACTGAAAAATTATACCATATTCTGGGTATGGTATAATTTACGGTTATTGGAAATTATACTTGGAAGAATTTTACATAAGAAGCGCTGAAGAGCTATAGGTTAAATACTGATAAACAGACGAAACATTATTTCAAAGGCTAGTCGCATGAACAAAATACAAACATTTCT